CCTTTGGCCTTCAAATGTGACCTAACACAGTCCTGACTTATTACTTGCCTGAACCAATCTGTGCCTACCAGATATCCTTTCAAGAGCTCACCTACATGAGCTTTTGACCTCAGACAAACCACAAACTTGGGGATGCACTCTTCCCACACAGGCCTCCACTGTCCTACCTCCCACCAGCTCCACACTTCACTACTCTCTGCTTAGTAGCGTCCCACTCTTCCTAAGCATTCATGTCATGTACCAACTGACACATGAAGGTTCCCATGCTTGGGGTTGTCCCCTTTGTCTGAAGTTGCCCAGCCCTTATCCGTCACCTGTCCTTCAAAAACTGTTAGTCTATACAGCTGCATTAACTTCATGATGTAGCCATATGCTCCCAAGATCAAGAACTCCATAAAGTGTTTGCCTTGTCACATTTATGTTGGACTCCAGGACCTTATACTTCTCTTAGAACTTCTCACTCCTAATCATTTTACTTAGAGTTGCTAACAAAATATTATTATCATTTTAAATTTTTCTGTAGGGCACATGCACTCGCCAGAGAGAGAGAGGGAAAGTGAGAAAGCAATGCCCAGGGGGGTGGCCATACTGCAATTCCTTCTCTTCCATGGTCTTCTTAAGGTTTCAGGCATGCACACGCATGCATCTGGCATATTTTTCAAGTCTCCAAGTTTGGGATTCAAACCACACCGTCAGCCATGTGGGATCCAGCAACCTTAACCACTAAGCCACAAGCTGCCCCTCAATGTATTATTAAAACTTTCAGACAACCCAGGAAAGGAAATTAATCTGTATTTATTTGTAGATCATTCTTTGTTTTTTTTTTTATAAAATATAAATACAATAATATGCTAACTATTGTATTGTTGGAAAAGTCATGAAGCATTTTTGCATAGAAAAATACAACATGACTTTTCCAATAACCCAATATATCAGTAGTATCCAAAAGTAATTCTCGAAAAAAAGTGGGTGGTGGTGGTGGTGGCAGTGGTGACATTTTGTTGTATCTTTAAATCCTAGAATTATTTATGCACAAATATTTACACATTCTAGAATATCCTGTCTGAAGGACACATTACTTATACATTACTTATACAATACTTATCCTCCTACTGTAACAAGACCCTAAGAAAATTACTTTGAACAGAACCAGGAACAAAACTAATGTGTAAAACAGATATGGCTTACTACCTGTTGATGATGACATGTATAGTATTCTCAACTGAATTGGTCTGAGAAGTATTTCATGATGGGTAAAGTCTTTTACAAGCAAAATAAGAAATAGTGATTGACTGTTTAAAAAATAATTAGAATGATAATAATAAAGATGAGGAAAAACATAGAAAAGATATTGAATGATGAAGCGGGGAGATTAATGTCTCTGTATTGACTGACATGCATGGCATTCCCTTTTGAAAAAGCAATGTAATACACTGTAAAGTTATATGTAATCCAATGTAATATAAAGAAGATTATGATGATAACAAAAAAGAAATAGGGTATAAAAAACGGGGGAGCCATAATCATAAAAATAAATAAAACTAATGTGTATAAAAATAAGTGTGCTTTATTGACCTTTTCTGGATACAGTGGAAAACTCTCAAGATGCTGCATCTGAAACAGCACTGAGAAAGCATAATCTCTTAAAATGTGTCCACAGTACAAGTTGCCTTTTCAGGGATTGCCCTAAACCACTCAACCTGACCCAGGCTGAGTGTGAACCCAGATAATCCTCCCAAAGCCACTGAAAAGTTATCAAATGAAAATGTTGGGTTCAAATTGTATCCATTCTTCACTAAATTCTGTTGGCAGCCAAAATTGTCATTCTATTCCTGCTCATTACCATTAAATTATAAATCATGCTAATTTACATGTTGCATAAAACGAATTGAAAATGAATGTTCTAATGTATGCCAGACTGACAGATGCAGTTTTCTCTTTTTTCCAAGACCATGATTTTTCTTACATTCATTTCTTGCATTTATTACGTTTTCATTAATTTCCCACTACTGGTTTCACACCGGTTATTCTTTTTTCTTCTATTTTTCTCTCCTCTTTAAAAAGTTTTGCTACTTTAAATTTCTTTATTTTCCAATTCTTCATTACAAAATGTTTCTATTAATTTATATAGTCACTTCTCTCTTTAAAAAAAAATGTATAGGGCATGTGAGCTCATTGGAGAGAAACAGAAAGAGAGGAAATGAGAAACCATCCCCATTTCCCTCAGAGTGGATGGCCACATTGCAACCTGTTCTTATCCACTCTCCTCCAGATTTTGGGTATGCACATGTGGTTTTCAAGTCTTTGAGTCTAGGATTCAAATACAGAAGTCAGCCATGTGGGATCCACCTGCCTTAACTACTACACCACTTGCTGGTCTAGTCACAGCTCTCTTTTATCAGAAATTAACTACCCAATTTCAGCAGACTTTGAAAAAGATACCATCTTCCTAAAATTCAAATGTAAACAGATAATAGATCTTAATGGAATTTATAAAGTTTTAAGGAAAATTCCTCAATAGAATAGAAAATGCTTATGCTTTTGACTTATATCTATCAAGTTCCTTGCACAGAAGTGGCATAAATCTGTATATCTGTAAGGTGAACTTAAATTTAAGGTGAGCTCTGTGAGCTGAAGAGGATAGAATTTCCACTGCTTTGTTGCTATGCTAGCATAAAATACTAGAAATAAACTTAGAGCAGAAGTATGTCAAATAAATCTCAATTAAGTATAATTTAAACTTAATGATCTCATCTTCTCTCTCTCCCTCTATATATTTTTTTTCACATTTAATTGCCCTCTTCCCAAATACTTACCTTTATATTAAAATATAGTTATAGCACTTAACAGAGCTCATGCTTGGTATCAGTGCTCTACTTTTACTTCTTAAATTCACACTAATGACCAAGTTACTAAATCAAGAACACCAATAAGAAACAAAACATGAATAGACCAGCAAGTGGCATGTTGGTTGGTCAAGGTGGCTAGATGCCACAAGGCCAACTGTGTGGTTTGAGTCCCAGACCCAGCGATTTGGAAAACATGCTGGGTTAGTGTGCATGCATTCCCAAACTCCTGAGAAGAGAATGGAGAATAGCTGGCAGTGTGGTCAACCCCCCTATTGGTGCTTTCTCTCTTTCTTTCTCTCTCCCCAGTGAGCACACATGCCCTGTAGCAACATTTTGAAAAAAAGAAAAGAAAGAAAGAAGAAACAAAAGATGATTTATTAACAAGTAAACGTGCACTGTTGCATGAAGGCGGAAGCATAGGCAAGTTGAAGGCATCACTGGAGCACATCGCACCCTGTACAACGAAGCATATCTGTCTGTACCTTTGTTAGCTGCTCTCTGAGCCCAGACATGGTTGCAAACATCTCATTAGCTTCTTCTTGGGGGCTTTCCTTGGTGATGAGGTGTGCTGTTTTTGTAATCATCTTGTACTGAGCATCCATCACAGGCATCTTCTGATCGATATCCTGCACGAATCATTGAAACAGATTAACATATGACATGTTTCCTTTTAATGTCAGGATTCTACAAGGCAAAATAAAAGCCAATGTGCACCGTATAAAATTCTGTGGACTCCAGTCATTGCTTACCTCCACTACTAATGTATTTTGCTAATACACTAATAAATAAACGTGTTCCTTTGGGGTGACCAAAAAAGTCAACATAGATTGGCTTAAGTAATCTTTTCACTTTCAAGAAAAGGTTAAAGTAGTATGGAAATATTATATATTAGGTTGTCAGGAAAGTCATGAAGTATTTTTCTATGTAAAAATGTGTCATGACTTTCATGACAACCCAATAATATAAATGCCTGCTAAGAATTTGGCATATCTGGCTATAAAAATAAAGCATTTTTTCTTTAAAAGATAACATATTATCAGGGTAGAAACTTACAAATTAGAGCTATTATGATAATAAAAATCTAAATTAATTATAGTCTTCTCACATAGTGATAACCAAAGTCAATGTCTTAATCATTACATCATGAATCTTCCTTCCTGTGTGTGTTTACAGCCATTTCTAATTTTCACAAAAACAAAACAACGATAGTGTTGTTTTTCTAGGTTAGTAATAGATTGTAAAATCTTTATGTGTCACTAAACATTGTTCCACTACTTCACTTTTAGAGCTGCAGGTTATTCAATATTTGTAAATACCACAGTTCATGCAATTTATCCTTTCTTGTTGGAAGGGTTTATATAGAGGTGCTCTCTATATATGTCCTCTGTTTTTTCCTCACGCTTTCCAATTTGGTTACAGGAAAAAAATCTCTAAATAGAAAAATCATTTTGATGTTACTTTACATGACCAAAGCGTATCTTTTTTTTTAAAAAAAACTAACATTTATTTTTATAAGAGGCACAGGAGATATCAAAACAGCTTTTCCAATGATCTGAGTAAACTTGCTGGTCTTTACTTTAGAAGTAGAACAGATTTTTTTCATTTTATGATCTCAAAGCCCCTTACCTCCAAGTCTTGAATTAGTAGCTTGACATTAATAAAAGAGACTTCTAAAGGTTCAGAAAGTTTCTTGTGAGCTTCAGCTGTAAACACAGACAGAGCAGTAACACAGTCTGTGTATTCTTTCTTCATTCTGTCCATCTCATCAGCTCGTGCATACTGTTAAAAAAAGGATAGGGGCATTGCAAAAACCATTTAACCAAGACTCTAGAAGCCCACAGCCTTCTCTTTTGCATTTTCTCTGGAACTGTTACACGGTAAGAAAGACTCTAATTTCTGATTCTTATCTTAGATAAACTTGAAGTATGTCCAAATACTTTGAGAGGCAGAAAAGAACTAGCATAGCAATGAAGACCTATGATTTAAAATGCAAATCATTCCATAAAAGTAGGCTCCATATGTCAACATAATCCTTAATCAAACTATATACATTCTGTAATGTGCCTCCATTATAAATGCAAAACAATGAAAAATCAACTATAAAACATACCAGTTTTAATGAAAATGGTACTCTGCCTTAATAAGCCCATGTCATAAAAATGAAATCATCTCTAACCAGACTGCTTATCATGACATTTATAATACATACATGTTTGAGGGGTATACAGATTTGAAAGACGTACTTGCTTGACTTCTATAAATAGCTCCCTCCAACGTCCATTTAGCAACAGTAATTGTTGCTTAAGGTCACGGGAAACCATCTCATCACATGTTTCAATTAGAAAATTGCCAGCATCATTCATGGCCGTGTGCTGCTGAATCCAATGGGGTAGATTCCGAAAGAAATCCTAAAAAATAAGGAATATTCATCATTACAAACCATAAACAAATATTAGTGACCAATATTAAAATAACCAGATAGATTTGTTCTAAAATTTGTGCAAATTTTGAAAGAGGTTAAAGAGAGAGAGTGAGAGAGAGAGAGAGAAGGAAAATGAGAAAGCAAGTTTCCAGGTCCAGGACTCAAACCACAGTCAGTCATGTCAGAGTCTAGTGCCCTTAACCACCATCTGCCAGTCCTCATATTTTTAATGAAGAGTTTCAAAATATGAAGTGGAAACAGGGAGAATCTTTTTATAAAAACATCTATGCCATATCTTTAGTTGAATACAAAACAAAAGACTATTTTCCATTATCCCTGTTTCATAAATGGCAAGGTTGAATTTCTGCAAGTGTAAGTCACTTGGGCATGGTCTTTGGTCTAGTAAATACAAGTGTCAGCATCATAAGAAAGGCATACTACTATTGGACAAAATCTGTGACTGTCAGGAAAAAAAATTAAATGCAATTTTGAGTCTACCTGTCTAATATTTACTTAAGAATAAGAGAGAAAAATTTGGAGCAGGTTCTTTTCATGTCAGGCTCTTCCTTTCCCAGTCTTCCACCTGGCTAACATACAGGTATGCATCATCACACCTGGCCTGTTAGGTCTGGCTGGAAATCAAGTCCAGACCTCCCCTGTGGCCTCAGCCTCTGAGCAGCAGTATCTTCGCAGTGTAAGCCACTGTGACTGAGCCCTAAACTCCTGTTAGTTCTGAGTTCAAAATCTGAACATGATATATTGAGGTAATGCATAATCATGGAGATAAATCATCTATGAAAAAAATTTCAATTAAATATCTGAGTCAAAACATTTAAGGCAAGGGAACCAGCAGTTAGTGTAATGGCTATGTTGCTGGACTCCCACTTAGTCAACCGTGGTTCGCGTCCCGGACCCGGTGGCTTAAAACTCACATCGGGCGCATGTGCGTGCATGCCCAAGATCCCGAGAGGAGAATGGAGGAGAAGGGATTGCGGCGTGACCATCCCCCCCTGGGGGGTGATTTCTCGCTTTCTGTCTCTCTCTGTCTGTCTGGTGAGCGCACGCACTCTATAGCGAAAATCTCTCCAAAAAAAAAAGATAAAAAAAAAAAACATTTAAGGCAAAAATATCCTTTCCAATAATTTGTTTAAGGGTGCACAGTTGGCAGTTAAACAGCCTCCTATTCATTTAAACTGAGATAGAGGGTGTGCATACATGCTCATACACGCATGCATCACAGTGAAAACCAAGGATACCAAAAATAATTCAAAATCCTTTTCAAAAGCGTGTGTGGGAGGACTTCCCACATAAATAGATGAGAACACTTCTGTTTCTGGTGGATATATTCCTTTGGATCAAATTAACATACATGACATCTACTGGTCTGGTAGATGGTCTGGTCAGAAAAGCCAACAACTGTACAAGCACATAGTACTGCTTTCCTCAGCTACACCATCTATGTGAGATGCAGAATGGAAAAGCGTGTATAAACAGCACTAGATAAACCCACCCTGAATGGCAAGCAGTAAGTCTAATGTATTTCCTATATGTCTTAATGGGAGCCTGGCATTCTGATATCCTTTACTGATTCATTGATTTTCTATGTGAAAATGTGTGGCTCCCATTAAAAAGTATATCTACAGAAATCAGTCCATTTCATGTGATATTTACACATAAGTGACATTAAAGTGAAATAGTAACTCTCACACATGCCCACATACCCACTTTAGCCTGCGAGAATAAAATCATCCCTCCCCAGAATGAGACCCTTGACTGAGAGTTGATGAAATACAAAAAAGAATCTCAGAAGGATAAAAATGGATGGTCTAGCTCTTCAATTGCTGTATGTTACCACACAGATTTGGTACTATGTTAGCCAAAGTTCTCATTGCCTCTTGAATTAGAAAATCCACAAAGCCTAGGGCCCTAGACAGGCCTCTTCAACTGCAGAACTCAGTGTGGGTATAGCGCCCTCTGCTGCCCATTGAATTTGGCTGACTGTCCATCAGGTAAGTGTGTGTATATATATACACACTCCCTAATGAACTAAGCTCTAAAAGTCTCTCATTTCTAAATCTAAGTCTTTTTTTTTTTTTTGCATTCAACAATCTTACCTTTTTTGCATTTTCTGTTTGGTTTAGCATTTTTTCAGCATCCTCTAGCCAGGCTTGAAGACTAGCCACAGTATTGCCATAGCGATCCCAGTTAGAAATCACTTCTTCCAGCATGCTCCTCACACTCCTAACTTCTACTGACAGGTTCCTCCACTGAGCGGTGGTTTCATTCATGAATTTCATCACATTCTCAGCTTCTTCCACTGAAACAGATGAAACCAATTACATCCTTTTTTTGTACTTTAAGTCTTCCATTTTTTTCCCCGATGGTCTGTTACAGAAATGTGCAATAGAATCAGTCACAAATTCAAGAGACCATTTTTAATAAATGTGTCGGACGTATTGATGAATCAAAAACAAGTATGTTTTACAAGTTGTGTCTTCACACTAACTTGAGCTCTCCTTTATTGATTATGGCATTCATGTTATTCAATATTTTTGCATGTAATCCTTAGAATTAAAAATAGGTTGAAAAATTAGAATTTAGAAAATGAATGTTTATTTCTATCTTTCTTAGGAGATTTCACACACACAGGAGTATGATTATACAGGTTAGGCATTTCATTAAGTCCAGGGACTGAATGCATTATGTGCAGTACTGGCCAATGGCAAGGTCACACAGAGATTCTGCAGAGGGGAGTAAAGGTCTGATCCCAAGGGAACCTGAAGGTTCTAAACTCTATTGCGGTCAGCCCTGCAGCCTGTTCTGCAGTGTGTTTTACCTGAACCATCCGCTTTGACATACATCTCTGCTGTCTGTTTCAAGATCTGGTACGTCACTTCATATTGCTCAAAGAACTTGCTGTTTTCTATGAAAGACTACAAAAGGAGGAACAGTTAGGAGACAGCAACCATCAGACTTATGTAGAAATGGCAAAGTCAATTTTCCTCAATAAGTCAGAAATATATTGAAAGATGTCAATCTTACTCTTCTGGAAAACACAAATTTAATTTTCTTGGCACAAATAACCTCTCAGATTATCCTGAGTACATAAATTGATTCCATGGTTAAAATTCTATTTCAGCACTAGATTGAGAAAAATATTCCATTTTTTCTTCACCAAGGGTTCACTTTTTAAAGAGTAGAAGTTTTTCCAAAGAGCCTGTACCTAAGTATAAATGCACTAAGTTTGGAGAAATATGCTAAAATGTCCCACTGTAGTTTAGTTGCGAGATTTTGCTACTTTTTGAACATTAATCTTGATGAGTGACTGCTCTGAAGAATTTGGGATTATGAATAAATGACACCAAACACTTCCCTTAAAATAAAAAAAGAGAAAATGTAAAAATAATCACATATTCCATCCATGTTATCAATGGTCTCATATTTCAATTACCTAATACAAAAAGTTACAGATAAGACACATTTATAACTATATCTTTATGCATGTAATGGGGTTACTGTCAGAAGACAAATACTATAAAATTGAGAACACCCACACAAAAAACCTTACATAAACTTTATTACACTTAACTCCATGAAATATAAAATCACTCCTGTTTCAAAAATTATTCTTGGTTTTCTAAAGTAGAAAATCGATGCAATTAGTTAACATCACCACAGGCTCTGTAATTTCTTTTAATAGCATAATTAGTTTCTATAATTCAAATCCATTAAAATACTTCATAAGTGTCACTATTATGAAATGCAAAATTAGCCTGCAGAAACATGCTAAAGTCCTGTATGGGATGTTCTAAATGTCTAATATGAAGACACAAAAGGCTTGTGTGTAGGTGAAAAACTACTCATACAGCAGGTTCCCAGGTATCGCTAGATTTTCAGTGATCAAAACTTATCATGATGCTAATACTTTGAGACACGAATTTAAAACATTATATATAAATGTGTGTGTGTGTGTATATACACATACACACACACACACATTTGATATCATTTTATATTTATAAACATTTACTTCTAAATTATTCTTGAGGGGCAAAATAAATAATGTTGTCAAAGCTGTGAGCTACCTGAAATGAGAGGGTCCATGATACAAACTTAATTAAATAACTTTAATAGATTTTACTATTTTTCTTTGAGAATAAAGACAATAGTAATGTAATTAATTCATTATTTAGTCTTCTATCCTGTTCCTATTTCCGGCTGGGCAGAGAATAATTTACTAGAGCTTCCTTTTTGAATAATTTAACAAAACAAGCAAGTAATGATTTTATCCAAAATAGAAAAGTACACCTAATTGTTCAAGACACTGTGTAAGAAATTGAAAAGACAATTTTATCTGGTAAAGTAAAAATAATCTTCATGTAGCTTTGCCACAAATTTCAAGAAGCTAATGAGGAAACAATTGTTCTAATTGTCAAAGAAATGAAATGAAAAATAGTGCTTGTGTTGGACAGGAAAAACCAAATATACTTTTGCTAGAGTAGCTTACAAATTAAAATGAACATGAGAGAAAAACGTATTCCCAGTGTCATTTTTAGTTCATGGAGAGGAGAAAAAGAGGTTTGAGAATATTACAAATGTTGTCAGGATTTACTAAGATATTTTTGAGCTTTTCTGTTAGGGAGACTAGGAAATTAATTTTTGAGGGAAGATGCTTTATTTGTTTATTTTTTATTGGTCCATTTAATTTAACCCTTTTTTCTGGATAAGGAGTAAATACATTTAGTAACATGAATTATTTCATCTATTAAACTCATTTTAACAGAAGACTTCTATATCTCCTTGTCTACTGTGAACTGTCTAGACATGCCTCTTAGAAAAACACAACAGTAATTACAAGTGTATATTTAAAATAGTAATGACAAGATCAGTTTATTTCTTTCAAAATAGAAATCCTGAATATGGGATATCAAGTTCCTTTATTGAAGTTGAATATAGGGTGTCAAGCTCCTATACCAAGTTGATGGTATGTAAAGAAAAATGAGATACCTCTTATGTCACTAAATTAGAAATATTAGTGACTAAATTTCAACTCTCACAAAATGAATACAGCTATAAGTAAAAAAAACTCACCAATTTCATTCAAAGAGAACTAAATCATATCTCTTGAGATTTTAAAAATAAACTTTTTGAGGGTAAGTGGTTTCATCAGGATGGCCTATTTCGATTAACAAAATAATTAGAAACAGTAAACAGTCACATAACTTATTTTACACTTATACAGTCTACATTAACAGCTCCTCTTTTCTTTTATGTGAAAGACAGAAATGTTATCCTATTTCGGGAACCAGCAGTTAGCGTAATGACTATGTCGCTGGACTCCCACGTAGTCGACCGCAGTTAACATCCCGGACCCGGTGGCTTAAAACTCACGCCGGGCGTGTGTGCGTGCGTGCCCAAGATCCCGAGAGGAGAATGGAGGAGAAGGGAAGCAGTGTGACCATCCCCCCGGGGAGGTGATTTCTCGCTTTCTGTCTCTATGTTTCTCTCTGTCTGGCGAGTGCATGCGCCCTATAGTAAAAACCTCTCCAAAAAAAAAAAAAAAAGAAAGAAATGTTATCCTATTTTTTTCCATAGTAAAGTTGAAGACTGTAGTAACTAAATGATCATTGTCAACAATTTTAACAAGAACCAGACCAGTTATCTTCTGATTTACATTACAGGATGTAGTCACTAAACAGCAGGTGATTGAAATTAATCATGACAAGCATTTGTGAAAATTTTTTCAATGTTTTTTTTAAAATAGTCAGTAGTTGCATACTTGAGCTAGGAAGTATATTCTCTAATTTTCTAATTCTTAAAAAAGTAGATTATTTTTTCTTTTTTGCAGATGAGTATGACTACATTGAGATTTCAGGGTAAGGACTTTGGGCCTTAATAGTACCTTGATTACTAGACAATGTAGTAGCATAGGCTCATTATAATACATTTAAAAAAAAAGAAATAAAAAACAAGGCCTAAGGACTACATTTAAGAAAACAACAACTTTAGGGCCAGTAGGTGATTTAGTGCTTATTGTGTTGTACTCCCACATGCCCGACGACAGTTGGAAACCTGGACTCAGCAGGCTTGAAACTCACACTGGGTGTGTGTGTATGTATGCTCCAAATCCCATGAGTGGAATGGAGAAGAAAGGATTGCAGGAGAAGGGACTGTGGTGTGACCATTCCCCCTGGGGAGGTGATTTCTCTCTCTCTCTCTTGCTGTCTCTCCAGCAAGCTCGTGTGCCCTATGGCAAAAATCTGTCAAAAAACAAAACAAAACAAAACTGACTTCATAATTTTATCTGAAAGTCTTCAAGTTTTTTGAAGTAGTTTATTCTAAAGAGAATGGCTTTCTAGAAATTTTCAAAAAAAGGGGGAAACTCTATGGGTGTAATATAGGAGGAAAATAGTACATACCAGTATTTATTCCTTAGCAAAATTCTATTATTCTATTAATATTATCACTAGTATTACTAATATTATTTAAAATCTAGGAAAGTCACTCTTACTAAAAATTAAGTTATTTAAGAAGTCAAAGGGATGGTAGGGGCTGAACAGAGATTCAAACTCATTCTTCTGTGACTAGTAGTTAAGCTTCACTGTTCCTCCTCACCCTCAAACCACACTATAAACATTCCTCCTCATCCCAAGACACAGTACATAACTAACAGCAACTGTCGGCCTACAGGATATAAAATATAGTCAACGATAGAGCTATATTAAGTAGAATTAGTATTTATGAGAGCTACATTCTTGAGTTCATGGGGACACCAGATATCATATCAATGAATCAGTCTTTAATGCTAAAAGAGTATTTTGAGGGGTTGGCCCAAAACCTAGTAGTTAAGAGAGCCACATCCCTCATGGCTGACTTCAGTTGGAATCCCAGCCTAGTGGCTTGAAAACCATGTCAGGTGCATGTATGTGTTTGTATGCCCCAAACCCATATAGGATGGAGAAAATGGAGAAGGGAGCGTGGCATCAACAGGCCCCATTGTGTGGTGCTTTCTCCTCTCTCTGTCGTTCTCTGGTAAGTACACATATCTTCTGGCAATTTTTTTAATCTTTTTTTTTAAGACAATTATTTTTAGACAGTAATACTCAGTACTTAAGCACAAGCAATTTTGATTTAGAAAATTTTTGGATTCAAACTGTGGCTCCACATCTTACCAACTGTGCCACCTAGAATATCTGATCTGAGACTGTAATCCCCAGAAGGGATTAAATGTGACCATACCTCACCTCACTGAGGGATGCTTTCTTCTCCTCCTTCCCCACACCCGTCCTCTCCCTCATCAAGCACACCTGCCTTCTAACAACTAACTAACTAACTAAATAAATAAAATAAAACCACAAATTCAATGGTTCTACATTATTTCTTCAGAGTATAAAATAGTATGAAAATGCCCAGTCCATAAAGCTATCACTGGGATGAAAGACAGTACATAAAATATTGTAGCATGTGTGAAATACTCAATAACTCACACTTATTAAAGCTATTAAATTAAAAAAATTATCTTAAAAGTCTTTATGAAAGAGAAACATGTGCCATAAATAGGCATTCTTCACCAGAAGAATATGAGGAAATGTTCATTAAAATATGCTATATGCTAGGGCCAGCAGGTAGCATGGTGGTTAAGGCACTAGATCCCACATGGCCTACTTTGGGGTTCCAGTCTTGGACCCAGCAGCTTGAAAAACAAGTTCGGCATGTGCGCCCCAAACTCCAGAAGGGACTGGAGGAGAAGGGATTTTGATGTGGTCATCCACCACAGGGGACATTTCCTCACTTTCTCTCTCTCTGTCTGTCTCTGGTGAATGCACTCACCCATAGTAAAACTTGAAAAAAAAAAAAAGGCTGAAGCTGTGTGCTATGTATGTATATAGGGCAATTAGCAATTTTACAAATAATTTTGAAAGTTATAAAGCAGCTTAAAATGAGTAACTTGGTGAATTTCTCTTTAACTCGATGGAATAGAAAGGAAGTACTGACTTTTATCATTAATAACAACTTTCTATTTATATATCCTTTGAGAAAGTTCAAAGGAAATTATTAACATCATTGTATTGGAACATGAGCCTGGTGGAACAATCCCATTAGGGGTTTAAGCCTGAGCTGGTAGTTCTTAAATAGCTCGAACAAAATATCCATCCTGTATAATCAAATGCTGGGCTGGGAGTGTATCATTTGACATGACTAAACATGAAAATATAAATGCACATTTGTATTTAATATTTAAAGAACTAATGTGATTGTTTGACCTTAAAAATTGGATTCATCATTAGTTTCCAAGGCAATTAAAAATGAATCAAGGAGCATATCATAACAGATTTCACATAGGCTGACAGGTATTTTTTTAGACAATTTTAGTACATCTGGAAAAAGATGTTACTATATACTAGTTAAATCTTATGTTTTCAAATATATGTTGTTTGCTCATCATTTAGAAAATGAAATTAAAATGTAGCAAAAGAGGTTATAGTTCTAAGTTGTTCAGTAAGGACATGTTTTTGATAAATATTCAAGCACAACATATTAGAGTCACTGAGACTAATCAGCTTATAAATGGGCTTATGTTTTAAAAGCTTATTGATTTATTGGTTAGAATTTGTATTTAAACTTAAATGGAATAGTACAAGATTGAGAAGCCCTATTAACATTAATTTTATAAAAATTAATTTGTATTACAAAATAAATTTACAGGGAAGGCATGTTTAGTTGATTAAGAAATAAACTGTCCTTAATAAATATAATACCCTAATTACATACAAATGGAAACTGCTAGAACAACCTGATTCTTTCATTAATACAGGGCTTTTGTTTTCCATGTAGATGTAGATTATCTGCACTGGAAGTCTAAGTAGGAGATAAACTTTAAAAGTGAAGTTGGTACAAAGATTCACAGACAACAATGTACTCTTCCCAAGTGCTCAGAAGAACAATGAAGCTCTGGGAAATACACACTGGAATTAAAACACACACACAAACACACACACACACATACACACACACATGCACATACACACACACACACAATCTCCATGTGGACAGTTAAGAATTGTTTTAGTTTACTCATGACACAATTTTACAAGACACAAAATTAATCCTTAAGGGTTTTCGTTCTGTTTCAATAGAGTTCCAATCAGAGATGGGTATGCAATGCAAAAACTTTTTTCCCTAAGTAATAAAGCCAGTCACAATGGTTCAATATTAACAATGCAGCAAAACTTTTCTAAACTACTGAGTTTTCAAGAATCAAATTCCCAGAATATAGTTTTACATTTCAGATGACTGTGAACATCTCATAAACTCCTAAGCCGTTTAACAAAGAGATACCTTTGTGTTTAATTTAAAGATTGAAATAACAGCATTAAATCAATGGATAGGTGTTAGATGCTACACCCATGGGCCATCCGATTTCCCTGTCCAGCCACCAGAGACTTACGATGTAGTTCTGCAGAAGCAGTTCCACTGACTCTCTCCTGCCGTACTTGATGATCCAAGACTTCAGCTTTGACTCTGCAAGAACCAGCAGTGAGAGCAGACGGTACTTTAATTCTAGAAATTCCATTTTCATTAAGTGCAGCTCTGATGTGGAGGAAACAAAATGAAACCTAGAAATAAAACACCGAGAATTTACAGGAGGTAACTACTGGTAACAGCACAATGCTTACTTAACCTGTTAGGTGTCAGCCTTAAATATAATGTGGCCACAGGTCTTCTACATCCTGGCTGATCACACAATCTGCAGATCTGATTCCTTTTCTGGCTCTGGGTCTACAGGCGAAACGTGATTGATTGAAGTATTTGATTTAGTTCTTTCCCCTGCCAACACATCTCTCGTCTGTTTCTTTTATAAGCTGTTTTTGCAATATTACATAATGTTCCTTACAGTACTGAATAAAAATACAGGCACTGAAGAAACCATCTCTGCAATCTGCAAGCTGTGGGTACATTCAGGTTCACTCTTTTCAGTGAATAATGCATTAGAATGTTGACATTCTTAGCATATGTTATGGGAGCCCACTTTTTAATGACCAAATGCTAGCATCTTCATAGAAAAAAAAATTCATTGAAAAGAAAATAAATATGAAAAGCATCCACTTCGCATTTTAAAAAGAGATTTCACTGAAAACCAGGCAATCTCTTACCTCTCGGCCATGTCCTCTAATTGATCAGATGGCACAGGGATCCCGTTAACGGACCTGGTCCGGTAGATTTCATGGAATGCTCTTTTGTGGGCATCTGTGTTTTGAAGCAGATCCTAAGATACAGTTTTAAAAAAATAAAAAATGAGAGAACATGTTCACAGGAGGCTAAGAAGCATAATTTCCAGCATGCACCGATGAGTCAATGTATTCAACAATCTGATCCTGCTGCCACGTTCATATGCAGCTTGGTGGCTATCACAGGCTTTTACCTTCAACAGGAGCCCAGTGCCTGCATAGAAGGCACTAGGCTAGAGCTGGGATCTAATAATTATGGCATCTTTTAAACACACATGACACTTGCACAGCAATGCATTCAGACATTTTAAAGGCACATGAGCCAAGGGAAAATGTAATTAGTGCTATAAACAGTGATTTTAGTAGTTTTCTCCATCCTTGATTTTGAATATGTTGGTTTCTAAAAGCTTAAAATGGAGCATAAGAAATTTAACCCTTTCATAATAGAAGATATTAGACTCTCTACTGCTGCCTTATTTTAAATGCATGCAGATTATTTTAAGGTGCTATTTCCTTGTCACTGAAAGTAAGTCAAGTATATCACAATATATTTTGAAAATATCCCTTTGTTTAGAAAATGTCACACAAGTAGAGATTGTCCCATAGAACAGTGAGGAGATCAAATATGATGTGCATGTGTATTCTTTATCGATTATATAGAATTTCACCCGTTTGATTCATTTGTTTAGGCTAATTTGCATTTTCCTTGATTCTTTTGCTGTGGTTTCCACTGTACACAACTTATAAAAAACGAACAAGTATTTCACAGTCTCTAGCCAACTTTTTGCATAGAAGCAAGGAAAGAATGAAATGAAATCTCCTTTAATGCCATATTTTCTAGGACTTTGCTCATTTCCCGAAAGCAGAATAAATACTCAACAGTGTGTCGTTCATTGAAAGGTAAGACACATTATCCCAATGATAAATAAAAATTAGTATTGTTTCTCTTGTATCAAAATTTAATGGGTTAACTGAAAAAATAGAAGCAAAACAGCACAAATCCAAAAGAGACACACTGGATTCCCATATATTATAAATTAAAATTTTGAAGTCTACCTGTGTTCGTCACATATAAGTGACATCTAAACATTGTAAAAAAAAAAAAAACCCTCAGGGACAAATCATTTCTATCCTGATATATTTTGCTGTGATCACATTAGACCTGCTTTGAGTCTGTAGGAAATGTACAGATATTTGCAAATCACGTGCCCAGATGGAGGAGGATACTGTGTGCCATCAAGAGTTGATCACAAGAGGACAGAGGACAGATTCCTGAGCAGCTACTCAGTGAACCTACTGATGCTAAGATTTTAGTCACTCTCTACCTCCTTTATCACATCCAGACACATTTTATGGCTTAGAGTCTTGGCTAAAACACCCTCAAGAGACTGTAGGGCAATCTCAGAGCCACCTCCTGAGGCTACTTCTGATCTATTGTATATGGCAAGTTTTTTTTAAAAATTATTTATTTATTTTATTTATTACTATTATTTTTTAAAATTTTGATGAGAGAGAGAAAAGGAAAGTAAGAAAGCAAGCTGTCAGTTCCAGGACTCAAACTGCAGTTGGCCATGTGGGAGTCCAGTGCCTTAACCACCACCATATCACCTACTGGGCCATATGTGGCAATTTTTAATATCTAGTACATTGACAAAGTCTTCACAAAGTATCAAAACAAACAAAATTTTCACATATATTATAAGACAACTTCTGTGCCGGCATGATGACCCTGGTTCCTCTGAAAGGTCCTCTTACTAAATGGTGAGCAAAAACATAATTTTAATTCACTTTTCTGGGTTCACAGGAAATTAGTGAAACCTTTATGTCTTCCATTCTCAGTAAAATATGTCTCAAAATTGCATCACAGATCTGTGAGCAAAAGCAAACTGAAAAAGCCAAATTGTCCTGGGTAAATATCTATAATTTCTGTGAAAGATTTAATTTTATAAAGTGAAGAAGGAGAGAATACAGAAACTGGATCTTCTCCATCTAGCTAGAACCCCCAGCAAGGACTAACATGGTCCAATTGGTAGCAGACACTATTATTAATACAATAGGAGGAAAGTAGAGCTACCAACCACAGGAAACAAGCCACCATGAGTGAGAACCAGCAGAAACAAAAAAATTGATGGCGCTAGTAAAGTATCAGCAACTTCATAATTAACAAAAAGCTATATAAGTTAGGAGGAGTTAAAAAAATAAGTTAGGAGGAGTTAAAATATTCTTAGTTCTAGTTAATATATCCTAGTTAAATATTCTAGTTAAAATATTCTTAATTCCTTGTATTAATTAGGAAGGGGTTAAAGAATGGATTAATTTGGAATTTTGTTAGGTATGTATATCAAATTTCAAGGGAAATGATACTGTGCAGCTAAAGTTTATAAGTTTCAAGATAATAAAGGGGAAAGTATGGAGTAAAAATATGAGCAAGCAAGCAAATAACAAGACCTCAATTTATAAATAGTAAGAAAGCAGGGAAAAAAATAGGACAAATAAAAAGCAAAAGTCAGATGATAAGAATCAATTTAAGTATATAAATTACTATAGATAAGTGTGAATTGAATATAAATTTACTAGTTAAAAAACAAAGATTATCTGGTAAGACAAATAACAAAATAGAACTTCTATTTTTATAAGAGATACTCCTAAATAGTAAGAACATGCATAGTGGCTCAGCCATGAGTATGGTACTGAAGCCACATGGAAGTCATGGGTTTGAATCTGAATTGACCTGAACATGTTGGATGCACCCATGTGTGTCCATGATCCTAACAGGCTAGGAAATTGAAGGAAAGACCTTGGCATGATGGCAACCTATAAAAGGTACCTACCTTGCACTTTTTCTCTCTCTCTTTGTATCAGAAATAAACAAACTAAAATTAAGCAAAAAATGTGAATAGTTTAAAATTAATAGAATTAAAAACATCATGACATCATGTCAGGCAAATATTAAGCAAAGAAAACAGTATAGGAGTTTTTTGTTTGCTTGTTTTCTTCTCTTTTCTTTTCTTTTTTTTTTTTTTTTTTTTTTTTTTTTTTTTTAGGTTTTGGCTATAGGGCATGTGCACTCACCAGAGAAAGAGAGGAAGAGAGGGAGACTAAAAGCAAGAAATCATCTCCCAGAGGGGATGGACATGATGCAATCCCCTCTCCTCCATTCTCCTCTCGGGATTTTGGGTATGCACACACATGCGCCCAGTATGAATTTTAAGCCACAGGGACTGGGACTCGAACCACGGTGGACTATGTGGGAATCCAATGATGCAATTATTATGCCATATGCTGGATGCAGTATAATCATATTTATAAAAATTGATATGGGGGGTTAACAGATGGTGTAACGGTTAGTTTACTGGACCTTGAGTCCTGAACCCAGTGGCTTAAAACTCACACTGGGCACATATACATATGTGACCAAAACCACAAGAGGAGAATGGAGGAGAAGGGATTGTGGCATACCCATCCTCCTGAGGGTGATTTCTCACTTTCTGTCTCTCTATTTCTCTCTGTGTCTCTGGCAAGTGCATGTGCCCCATAGCAAAAATCTCTCTAAAGAAAAAAAAATTGCTATAAGGTATATGTGCTCACCAGGAGAAGACTGAGAGAGATAATGAGAGAGAAGGAACATAAGAAATCACCCCCAGGGGGATGGCTACACTAAAATTTCATATCTTTCATTCTCCTCACAGGATTTTGGGCATACATGCATACATATCTGGAGTGTTTTTCAAGCTGCTGGGTCTGGGACTTGAACCATGCAGTTGGCCATGTGGGATCCAACCATCTTAACTACCATATCACCAGATGGTATGGTATTAATATTAATATTTATATTTTTTGGAGAGGTTTTTGCTATAGGGCGCATGCGCTCGCCAGACAGACACAGAGAGACAGAGAGACAGAAAGCAAGAAATCATCCCCCGGGGGGGATGGTCATGCCGCAATCCCTTCTCCTCCATTCTCCTCTTGGGATCTTGGGCACGCATGCACACGCGCCTGGCGTGAGTTTAAGCCACCAAGTCCGGGACTCGAACCGCAGTTGACTACGTGGGAGTCCAGCGACATAGCCATTACGCTAACTGCTGGTCCCAATATTAATATTAATAATAATATGAATACCAGACAAAATAGACTCTAGAGCAGAAATCATTAAATTGCTTAATGATGAAACTTTTAAGTTTATAGGAGATACATTAACATGAACTGGAATATATCTAATGTAAGTTTCAAAATACATAAAGCAAAACTGATAGAACTACAAGGAGAAATTGACAATTCCACATCATAGTGGGAATTGTCAATACCTCTCTCAATGGTTGAGATAAAGAAAAGGGAACAAGTAGCAAGATGTTGGATAAAGGAAAAAGAAGAAAGGGGCCTCAGTAAGAACTTTCAATATTAATTTTAAGAAGATAGAAGCTGATGAGAAGTTTTGAGCAGAGTGGTGAAATGATCTGAGCTGCACCTTACAAGGACAATCATGCCTATTCTACTGAAGATATCCTGCCCTTAATACACCTGCTTCCCTTGGAATATAGGGACACACAGTAGCTGGATTTCATTATCTTCCCTTCTCAATTAAAATAAATTTCATTGTTTTTTTAGTTGCTCATCTTAAAATTATACTGCCATTTATGGTAACCTTTTCCCCTATGATCGATATCTAATGCTGAGAATTATGTTTCTTGATTTCAAAATATATTCAGAATCTTGCCCAGCCATGATGACAAAGCAGTAGAGTGCCACTCTGTGATGTTGGAGTCATATAAAAGATTGGGATCTGGTTCCCAGGTTGACCCATACACACTGGTGAGTGTATATTCTCATGATCTCATGGTCCTGGCTCGCTGAGAAGTCTGGGGTGAGGATTGCAGTGTGAGACCCTGTTGAAGAAGCCTGTCCATCTTGTTTTCCCTCATGAAATTATATATGTAATTTCCCCCCACAGTATCTGACCTTTCTCACCATCTCTACAAGTATCGCCCTGGTCCAAGCCACATATCGATTATTGAAACAATATCCTATCATATGCCTTGCA